CAGAGTTCGTGATGGGAACATCGGGACCGGGACCCCAGTGGGGACGGAAGGAGGCACCGGAACATCGCGGTGGGGGTGGGGGGCGGACCGAGGAGCAGCGGGTTGGGTCGTCGGGCGGCCCCGCAGGAGCACGGCGACCGCACGGCTGGGCCGGGACCGCCGGGGTCAGGCACTGTGGCTCCGGGGATGGCGGCACCGGGCCTCCTCCGCCCTTCCACCCCACCGCCAGGGGGCGCTCTCGCCCCGCCCCGCCACCCATCGCGGCCCCCCCCCGCCCGCTGACCTGCCGGAGCGCCGCCGCCGCGGGCATTCCCGGAAGTGGCCCTGCCGCCGCGGGTGGCAGCCAATCAGTGCGCAGCGCGCCGCGAACGTCCCACGTCTTCGACCAATAGCAGCGCCGGGAGGGCGGGACAAGGGGGCGTGGATAGCCGGGTCGTCCCGCCTTTCCCCCGCTGGCGCCGGCGCTCACAGCGCGACCATCGAGTTCAGCGCTCAGAGCGCCGCTTCCGGTCCGCAGCGGGGCGGCAGCTTCCGGCGGGGCGGGGGTCGCGTAGCAGCGCGCCGGGGCCGGGCGGGGGCAGGAGGTGAGAGCGGGGCTGCGGCGTGAGGGCCGGGGGGAGACAGGCCGGGGGGAGCGGGGCGGAGGGGCGGAGCTCCGGCAGAGAGGCCCGGCCCGGGTTGGGCCCCGCGGCTTTGTGGGGCCGCTCCCTTTGCCCGGGGTCCCGTCGGAGCGGCGTTCGGTGGCGCGGCGGAGGGGCTGCCGGGGGCCGCGCTCGGCGCGAAGGGCCCAGGGGGGTCCGGGAGGGGGGATGGGCCGCTCGTAGCGTCCCGCCGCCCCCCGACGCGGGGCTGCCCGGCACCCGGGGCTCCTTCATTCCCGGCGGTTCCGTCCGCTCCCCGCGGCGCTGCGAGATTTGTGTCGGAAATCGCCTTTGGCAGAGCTGCGTTCAGCGACGTTGCGTAACGACGAGGACGCGATTCACCGGCGGCAGCCGGGCTCCGCGCGGCGGCGATGCGCGGGGGGGGGGGTTCGTCCCCGCGGGGGGGCAGGGCTGCGCACGGCGCCGCTCCCTGCCCCGCTCATTTTCCCTTCCTGTTTCTCTCCCCTGCCCTCAGATCCCTCGGGCCTCCCAGCTCTCCGTCGGCGGCGGCTCACGGCCTCGAAGAGCGATGTTTGTGTTGTGAGAGGAGGAAGGGGAAAAGATGGGCCACTGGGAGAACCTCCCTGGAAAGAGTGACCCAACGCCAGCCCTGCCTCTGCGCCGCTCAGGGAGGAATTCTGCCGCGGAAGGTAAAGCAGCCCAGAGCTCTCCTTTGCTTCTCCTATGAGGGAAGTTGAGGGTTGGGCTTGTTTAGCCAGGGAAAGGCAAGGCTCATCTCATGGTGGCCTTCCAGCACTTGAAGGGAGCGGATAAACAGGAGGGGAACGGCTGTTGGTGAGGGTGGGTGCTGACAGGACAGGGGGGAATGGTTTTAAAGTGAGACAGGGGAGGTTGAGGTTGGATATGAGGAGGAAGTTTTTCACACACAGGGTGGCGAGGCACTGGCACAGGTTGCCCACGGAGGCTGTGGATGCCCCAGCCCTGCAGGCATTCAGGGCCAGGCTGGATGTGGCTCTGGGCAGCCTGGGCTGCTGGCTGGTGACCTGCATGCAGCAGGGGTTGGAACTGATGAGCGCTGTGGGCCTTTGCAACCCAGGGCATCCTACGATATGATTCTGTTTTCCCATATCTGTGTGCAGGCCGTGGGTTTCTTCCCCCACACGTGGGGTTTGGGGCACATGAAGGGCTGCTGCTCGCCATGCAGGCCCAGCGCTGCCTGCTCAGGGAGCTCTGGAGCTGCAGTTTTGCTCCTCAGGCTCTCCGTGGCTCCACGTGCAAACCCTGTGCGCGTCCCTCTGCAGCTGGCAGTGCGGCTGTTCCTGCAGCTGCTCAGCCTCTGCTGTGGCGGATTTATGCAGATCACTGTTTGGAGACCTGGGTGCAAGGCAGAGGTCTGGGCATGGCAAGGGACGCAGATTTGTTCTCATGCTGCTGAAGGACCTTTGGTGGGAGTCAATGTCTGCGGGAAACAGAAAAATCTTCCTTAAATTTCAGAGAGTCGCCAGTTTCAGAGTCCTGCCAAACTGGATTGCAGAACTGCCCCTGCCTGATTTCTGCATCCCTGCTTTCAATTGGAGCTCTGGAACGAGAAAAGCAGACGCTGGAATTTCCAGTGCTCTCTCAAAAAGCCAAATTCACTGCAATTCGTGGCGAAGGAGCTTTGCTAACCAAAGCTGCAGGCAGACGCGGTGCTTTGGGAAAGCGTCCCAAAAGCTGGCAGGGATTCCTGCAGGCAGAGCAGAGCCTCGCGAGGAGCTGGAGGTGGGAGGGGGCGAGCAGGGCAGCCCGGATCCCCCCTGCTTTGCCCCGATCTGCCGGCTTGGTGCTGGGCCAAGCGCCGCCTGTGTGGGCTGGGTGCTGGGAGGCAGGAGCTGCTGCCTGCTGGGTGCGATCCCCGCCGCTCTGCTGGGAGGTCGGGCTGCTCAGCAGCTGTGCGCTCAGCGCCGGCCTCCGAGCGAAGGCGTGAAGCTCTTTGGTTTCCCTGTGTCGTGTGGGGCAACGCGGCCCGGCTGAGTTTCATTTTGGGCTTTCCGTCTCCTTGGCAGCGTAGGAGCAGGCTGGAAAACGGCGTGCGGTGGAGCTGCGTGGCTGCAGCCTGCGCGGGTCTGCGTGGAGCCGTCACTGCGAGCGCAGCAGGGCCGCATTCCTGCCCCCGGCTTTTCCAGGGCACCCTTTCCTCCCGACCCCGTGCCGCATTCCTCAGCTCTCTGCAGTTTGCAGGATGTGTCAGAGCGCCACGCTGCTGCCGGAGTGCGGGCGCTGCGGGGCGCTGCGGGGCGGACGGGGCTGGAGCGGCCCTGGGAGCTCCGCCTGGTGCTCGGCGCCTCGCTCGGCTCCCGGCTGGATTCCCGGGGGCAGGAAGGTGGGCAGGGCGCCGTGGGCTGCGGCGGAAAGGGCCGAGCTTCCAGCCGACGTCTGGCGGCCGTGAATCCCGCGCACGGGGCTGAGGCGCGTGGAGTTGGGGTTTGGGAGGCGCTCCTTGTGCGTTTTGGTGCCGGAGGAGGTGGGCAGTGGGGGAAGAAGTCACGGCGGAGGAGCTGCGTGGTTTGCGCTCGCTGCGCTCTGGGCTTTTAATTAAACGTTAGTCATTATTTGCTGTGCGTTTTGCCCGCGGCCTCCGGAATCAAAGCAGCAGCATTGAGACTTCGTGCGCGGCGCTCGGTTGCCGTTGGCGTCGCCGTTAAGCGCTCAAAGGCTGTGGAGCAGCAGCTCCGCTGAGGGAAGCTCTTCTGGGGGCTGCAGAGTGGTTCTGGGGCGCGGGCCCACAATGAGCCGTCGGCTTTCCGAGCACAGACTGCGGAAGGAACGAATTAACGCTGCGACCATTGTTTAAATGCGCGGCCGTGAGCTCAGCAGCGCTGCTCGAGGGGGTGGCGACCTCCGAAGGGTTGGGAGGCGAGAACCAAGGCGCTCCTTAGCGCCGAAAACCAATCGAGCTTCAGTTGGGTTGCGGCCGGCGTCGGGTCCGTGCGGGAATCCCTGAGGAAGCCGCAGCGGCGCGGGCAGAGCGCGGCGCTGCGGACGGGGGGCGAGAGCGGCGGGGGGCGCGCGGGGCTGCAGGGCGGCCGGGACTCGCAGGGGCCGTCGGCTCTGGGCGGAACCTCCGTCCTCCTCCCGCGGAGCTCTGTGTGGGACCGCCCGGGCCGGGGCAGGATCTGCAGGCGGTGCCGAGCTGCGGCTCCTTTAAGCCCCCGGGTCCCGTTTTCTCCCCTTGGAAGCCCTGCAGCCCCCAGGAGAAGCTCTGTGCTTCCTCACAGCAGGGAGCGGCGGCAACAAAGCGCGGTGCCACAGAGCTCGCAGTTCAAGCTGTCGGACCGCCCCGGTCCTGGCTCTGAGCTGGGCTCCAGCTGCTGCACTGCGGCCCCTCTTGCATCCACGTGTTGTTTTTCCTCCCTTTTGCCCCCCTTTCCCTCTGGCTTTCTGGTTCCAATTGTGTTTCTTTTGGCTCACGAAGCTGATAAAATCAGGAGAAGATTCTCAAGAGTGCAGAACAGGTTTCTTGCGAAGTGCCAGGTACGGACGCAGCCCCTCCTGTCCTCCCTGCGGGCCGTCCTGCAGCTGCGAGTGCATCTGGTGTCCCGCAGCTCAGTGCCACCGCAGGCTGTGCCGGCAGAGGTTGGGTTCCCAGCTCCTCGCTCAGGCATCACAGATGATTTCAGCTCTCCTGCAAAAGGAGCCGAGCACTCCTGGCTGCAGAGCTCTGCCTGATCTCTGGCAGAAGGGGGAAGCAGCAGGGCTGAGGCACGAGGGGGGTCCTGATGCCCTTGGGCTCACACTGGTGCCATGGCGCTTCTGGAGGAGGTTCTGGTGCCGCCTGTTTGGCAGCTGGTGTGGCTGGGTGTCAGGTTCGTGCTCTGCCCTCTGCTCCCATCACTGCGGAGCGGCTGCCTGGCTTCGCCCTGCTGCTCGTCGGAGGGGTGATGCTGCACATCAGAGCTTTGGAGGTGAATGGTGATGAGAGCAGAGTTGGTGCCGGGCCCCAGAGGAGCTGCTGTGCCCGTTCTGCCCTTCCTGCAGGGTCTGCCCCTACCTGGAGGCGCTGGGATTTGCGGCTCCTAAAGAGGTGGGAAGGAACCGGGGCCAAGGAGATGAGCACCGTCCAAAGGTGCGGGGAGGATCGAGGCAAGCTGCTGGATGGGCTCCCCTGTTATCTGCATTGCAAACTGCACAGGGACTTCCCCCACCCCTCCTCCATCAAAGGAGCCCTTTGTGCTGCCTCCTGGCACTGAACACTGGGTGTTGCTGAGCGCTGCTCCGGGCTGCCGCTGAGGGGCTCAGCACCTGAGAACCAACCCCAGCCTGCAGGGCTGCCCTCGCTCCTTGGCGGCCCTGTGCTGCTGCTTTCCCCTCCACCCTGCAAACAGAGCCGGGTGAGAGGGGAAAAAAACCAAAACAGCGAGCAGGAAATGCGCAGCAGGATTGGTAACAAGGTGTGGGGGAGCAGAACGGAGGAGCAGAACGGAGGAGCAGCTCAGGGCAGCGGCTGCGGCTCCTCCCCACGCTGCGGCCGCTGCTCCTGACCCCCGTCTTGTCCCGTCCGCAGGGTTCTGGCACCGGTGATGAGCGATGGGGTATGATGTAGCACGCTTTCAGGGGGACGTTGATGAAGACCTTATCTGCCCCATCTGCAGCGGGGTCCTGGAGGAGCCGGTTCAGGTAGGTTTCCACCTGCAGACCTCCGGAAGTCTGGGGCAGGTGATGGGCAGCCCAGTGCCAGCTGAGCTCGGCGGGTTCCCGGTTTTCTTAGCAGCTCAGGAGGAGCCCAGGTGACCCACAGCCCTGATGCTGGTGCGCTGCTCTGTGGGGCACAGCGGGGTTGGCAGCATCCCTGCGCTCTGCAGCTCCAGCGGCCCCACGGGGTGCCAGCGTGCTGGGATTGGCCCCAGCCTGGGACCCCTTCTCTGCTCTTCAGGCCCTGTATTCCCCCAGCAGCATTCAGCTGTAGCCTCAGTGCCCAAATCCAGCCTCGCTTGAAACTGAGCAGGACTCAAACAGGATGGAGCCGATCGGTTTCCCACTTCATGACCACCCGAGTCGGAGCTGTGCCTCCCCGGCTCTGAGTATCGCAGCCCTCCGCTCCTCTCCCCGCAGGCTCCTCACTGTGAGCACGCCTTCTGCAATGCCTGCATCACGCAGTGGTTCTCCCAGCAGCAGACCTGCCCCGTGGACCGCAGCGTGGTGACGGTTGCCCACCTCCGCCCCGTGCCGCGCATCATGCGCAACATGCTCTCCAAGCTGCAGATCACCTGTGACAATGCTGTGTTTGGCTGCACGGCCGTCGTGCGACTGGACAACCTGATGTCTCACCTCAACGACTGCGAGCACAACCCCAAGCGCCCCGTGACCTGCGAGCAGGGATGCGGGTGAGGACGGACGGGGCTGCGGTCTCCTGGTCTGCTGAGGGATGCGGGGATGGCAGAGTGAGGGCCGCAGTGCAGAACGGGGCACTGGGGCTGCTCTCTGCCCCCCTTTGCTGCAGGATGGGGCCCTGGCGCTGCTCTCTGCCCCCCTTTGCTGTAGGGGCACACGCAGGCCCTGAAGGCTGCAGTGCTGCAGAAAGGTTTTGCATCAAAGCCGTTTCTTTTTCGACTTGTTTCACAACCTGCGGCTCTTCAGCTCACTGCTGGGCTTTGGACGTCAGCTGTGGAAAGCAGGTGCCTTTGCATCTTCCTGCAGCCGTTCCAGCCCAGGATGAGCTCCAGCGTGAGCTCTGCTCCCTCCTACGCCTCACCCAGAGCCAGGAGCAGTGGGTGGCAGCTCTGGCCCCGGCAGCTGTGCAGTCAGTGCCGATGCTCTGCCCACTCAGGTGCTGTAACACCCAGCCAGGCAGCAGCGCTGGCTCAGGGGCCGTCAGATGGAGGCAGTCTGGGTCAGGTCTGTGGGCTGCCTGCTGCCGTCAGCTTTGGGGGAGGAAGGACCCGGTGGTGGTTTCTTCCCACAGCCTCCCCTCCTGAACTCGTGGTGTTGCAGCGCTTCCTGGGCCTCTCCTCGAGTTCACCAACACTGGATTTGTTCTGGAAATTGTGTGCTTAAACCAAGTGCTCTGGTATGCAATTCTGCATAATGCGGGGTCCCCACCTTTTTGTGTTGTTCCACAGCTTGGAAATGCCCAAGGACGAGCTGCCAAACCACAACTGCATCAAGCATTTAAGATCGGTGGTGCAGCAGCAGCAGACCAGGATTGCTGAGCTGGAGAAGACCTCAGCAGAGCACAAGCATCAGCTGGCAGAGCAGGTAGGTCTGCGGTGCCACCTGTGAGCCCAGCAAACGCCTGTGGTGCTGCTGGACGTCCTGCCGCAGCCCCGCCGTGCTCCTTCTCTCCTAGAAACGCGACATCCAGCTGCTGAAGGCCTACATGCGAGCCATCCGCAGCGTCAACCCCAACCTGCAGAACCTGGAGGAGACCATCGAGTACAACGAGATCCTGGAGTGAGTGCTGGCTCTCGCGCCGCTCAGTGGGAGCTGGGGAGCGGGGCTGGGATGCAGGCAGGTTTGAGAGGGGGCGAAGGTGCTGCTGGAGAAGGAAAAGCTGTGCGCCTTCCTGTGGGCCGTTTGTGCTGGGAGTGGCGCGAGCGGGTTGCACAACGGGTCCTGACCTTTGTGATTCCTGCACCTGCATCCTGTCCAGGAGCAGGAAGCTGCCGCCTTCCTCCCTCCTCAGCAGAAAGACAGGAGGAAGCGAACCCGGTTTTGTTCCTCCTTCCTCTGCCTTCAGGAGGGAGGAAGGGCTCCGCCTGACAAAGCTGGTTAGAATGGGAGCTGGCGTCCCCCGAGCTGCTCCTGCTGTTCGGTGGCACTGAGTCCTCCCTGTGTCCCCAGGTGGGTGAACTCCCTGCAGCCCGCCCGCGTGACGCGGTGGGGAGGGATGATCTCCACGCCGGACGCCGTGCTGCAGGCCGTCATCAAACGCTCGCTGGTGGAGAGCGGCTGCCCCACGTCCATCATCAACGAGCTGATTGAGAACGCCCACGAGCGGAACTGGCCGCAGGGCCTGGCGACGCTGGAGACTCGTCAGATGAACCGGCGTTACTACGAGAACTACGTGGCCAAACGCATCCCCGGCAAGCAGGCCGTGGTGGTGATGGCCTGCGAGAACCAGCACATGGGTGAGGACATGGTGCTGGAGCCGGGGCTGGTGATGATCTTTGCACACGGAGTGGAGGAAATATAAAGGACGTTGGAAGAGTGATGCTTTGTGCTGAGGAGGGGGACGGGGCCGAGGCCCAGCCTGGATGCTCCCCGCGGCCGGGCTCGGCTCAGAGCTCCGCTGGCTGCTGCACCTCCTGCCCGAAATGATTCCACGCCCCCCGCAACCGCTGCATCCACCCCAGCCTGCCCCTGTTTGCCCTCTGCAGCTCCATTTTCCCACTTGGTGTCTTCAGGGGGGCAGAGGAGGTCCAGCTGCTCCCCAGCTCCTGCTGGACTTCCACCCCCTCGGCTGCTCCCCCCGGCTCACGCTGTGCCTACGGCCCCCGGCTGCCCCCCTCCCTTTGCTCCGTGTTTTCTGCCCTGTGCTTGGCTGTGTCTGTCCCTGGGGGCCGGGCTCGGCCTCTCTTTCCCCATTGACCCTGAAGGCAGAACTGGGCGCCCTGGGCCGGGGGGAGCCGCGGCAGAGGAGGGAGCGGGCAGGGGGGGGGCCTGGCACCGGCGTGGAGCGGCTACGCGAGCCCCCTCTGCCCCCTGCTGCTCCTCTGCGGCCGCTCGCGATCGTGGTTCTGTATTATTTTGTACTTCTTGGCCTTCTGCCCTGCCTCCTCCCCCCGTTTTATTTTGGAGCGCCGCGGCTGGGTGCGTTGACCCCGGTCACGGCCACCCTGTGGGAATTTAATTTATTTGCAGTCGTTTCGTTGTTTGTTTTTTTTTTTACGGTCCTTTCCCGTCCCCCGGTGTCTGTACGATGCGGTTCCGGGGCTCCCCCCGCCCCCGGGGGGGGTCAGTGATCAATAAACGCTGTTCTGGTTTCTGTACCCTGTTCCTCGGGGCTCCAGGAGGGGAGCGGGGGGCGCCCCAAAGCGAATCGGCGGCCGCCTCGAGAGCCCGCAGAACCGCTCCGTAAAAAAGCGACTGCGGCGCCGGGAGCCCCGACAGCCGTTCCGTTTCCCGACCCGCAGCGCTGCGCAAAAAACGATACTCCGTCACGGACAGGATTCGAACCTGTGCGGGGAAACCCCATTGGATTTCGAGTCCAACGCCTTAACCACTCGGCCACCGTGACTCCCGCGCCTCCCTCCGCCGCGCTCCGCCTAGAGCCGCCGCACCCACAACGCGACTCCGCCAGACCGCCCCCCCCCCCCCCCCCCCCCCGGGGCTCTTCCGGGCCTTTGGGGGCGGAGCGCGGCGACGCGCGGGGGCACAGAGAGGCACCGGGCGGCTGTGCGCAAGGCGCCCAGCAGGGGGCGTCATAACGCCTGCGCTGCGCGGTGCCGGAAGTGGGCGCTCGAAGCCTCGCGCTGCGTCCCGCCGGCAGGGGGCGCTGTCACACCTGTCCCCGTTCTGCCGGCAGGGGGCGCTGTCACGGGCACGCTCAGCCCTGTGCCGCCGGCAGGGGGCGCCGTCACGCCCGTCCCCGTTCCGCCGCCAGGGGGCGCTGCGGCGCGGCGCGGCGGGGAGCGGCCCGGCCCGCTGGAAGATGGCGGTGCGGAAGAAGGACGGCGGCCCCAACGTCAAGTACTACGAGGCCTCGGACACCGTCAGCCAGTTCGACAACGTGCGCCTTTGGCTCGGCAAGAACTACAAGAAGGTACGGAACGCCCGGCCCCGCCCGGCCTCGCGGCCCCGCCCCGCACGGAGCGGGCCCGCGGCTGAGCCCCCTCCCGCAGTACATCCAGGCCGAGCCCCCCACCAACAAGTCGCTGTCGAGCCTGGTGGTGCAGCTGCTGCAGTTCCAGGAGGAGGTGTTCGGGAAGCACGTCAGCAACGCGCCGCTCACCAAGCTGCCGGTGCGTGAGTGCGCGGACGGACAAAGGGCCCCCGACCCCCCCGGCTCCCCGGGCCCCGGACCCCCGCACGGCCCGGCGCGGGGGGGACGTGCGGACGGCGCCCCCCAACCCGGGGACGGCGCCCCCCTGAGGACCCTGAACCCCCCGGGTCTCGGGGGCGTCCCGGCACCGCAGCGCCCGCGGCCCGGGTTGGGGGGCAGCGCCCGGGGGATCGGGGTGGCCGCGCCCCGGGATGGAGAGGGGACGGCGGTGGGGATGGCAGTGTGGCGGCGAGGGGACGCGTCCCAGCGGTGTGGAGCATCGCGCGGTGTGGGGCAGCCCCCGAGCCCTGCCCTCCCTTTGCAGATCAAATGCTTCCTGGATTTCAAGGCGGGGGGAGCCCTGTGCCACATCCTGGCGGCTGCTTATAAGTTCAAGAGCGACCAAGGATGGTGAGCAGCACCGTGGGGGGGATGGGATGGAATGGGATGGGATGGGATGGGGTGGGGTGGGGGGGTGAGCAGAGATTTGTCTGCTCTGTGGGGCACTGGGGGTGGTCGTGGCCCTGGGTTGGGCTGTGCGTTGGGTGCCCATCTCATGCGCAGAGCCCTGCTGGGGTTCCCCCCCGGGCAGAATGGGGCTGACCGATGAGGAGACCGGAGCTGTGGCTTTCATGAGAGTCGCTCTTTTCTTCCAATAAGGCGGCGTTTCGATTTCCAGAATCCCTCGCGGATGGACCGCAACGTGGAGATGTTTATGACCATCGAGAAATCCCTGGTGCAGGTGGGAGCTGCTTCCCTTTCCTCGTCCCCTCGCACTCTGTTTGCTCCCCGCTTTGTTTAATGCTTGGCTTTCCTTCCCCAGAACAACTGCCTGTCCCGGCCCAACATCTTCCTGCACCAGGAGATTGAGCCCAAGCTGCTGAGCAAACTGAAGGATATCATCAAGAGGCACCAGGTGGGCGCCTGTGTTGGCGCTGGGGGGCTGGGTCCCATTCGGTGCTTCCTCCTGCTGCTCAGCCCTGCGGTCCCTCCTCTTTTCCCAGGGCACGGTGACTGAGGACAAGAGCAACGCGTCCCACGTTGTCTGCCCCGTCCCTGGGAACTTGGAGGAAGGTGGGTGCAAAGCAGGAGGTGCAGCCTGAGCTCCTCTGCTCAGAGCTTAAGGACAAACACAGGCGCCCACCTGGTGC